ACTTTAAAAATCAAGTTCGTCGATCGATTCACATTTTAAATAAATTCACATTTTAATCTGTATCAATCATTCTACGTTTTGTCGACGTGACTCGACTACTTGAAGAAATTTCACGAAACCAGTTACGAAATTTCTACGAATAAAAAACTTTACCAATATATCGGACAATAATTTTTGAACTCTGCTCATTCCATCGTGCATAAATCTCAAATACTCAAAGAGAATTTCGCAGAACCAGAATTTTGCAAAATACGAACGAAGAACTTATAACCAGATATATCCAGCTGGTAAATAATTTTTCAATCTGCAATCGATTCGTTCGCAGGCTCTTCACATGCGTGGATTCATAATCGCGAGAGGGAGTTGATTTCAATTAAAAGGCCGAACGGAGAGGCTGAGAGAAGTTTAAACGTTTGTTCGCCGACGCGCGTGTTCAAGTTTCATCGGCGGGACCTGCATAAACAATCTCCGAAACAGTCTCGCTCGGGAAATCCACTGGGGGAGAGAGAGAGAGAGAGAGAGAGGAGAAAGAAGAAGAGGTAGAAGAGAAGTGGAGGTCTTCAAACTTCATTTTCCACGGCGCGAGACTTTCGCTGGTGCCTTTCCATAAACAGCCCTCGAAACACCCTCCGGGAAAAATGCCGCCATCCCACTCGAAACCTAACCTCTCTCACGCCTTTTCCACTGAATTTATTCGCAAATTCGCGGCACGCATTGCCGATACAAATTAAAAAGCAGAGTTCGGGAAATTCAAGAGTTTCGTGCTGGCCAGGCGAAAAATCGATGACTGGAGTAATTTGAAAGCTTCAATTCGAATTAGGTTCGGATTAGATCAGCGACACCTGTGTGATTATTATTATTATTTAAAGGGTAAATTCTTAATTGTTATTATTATTATTAGACAGATAGATCTTTATTGATTTCCTATTGGATTATCTTATTGTAACATAGAATAGAATAAACCAAACATAAACAAAAGAAAAACCATATAAAGCAACTTATGATATGTTGACATGAAACGCTCTTGTATATAAAAATAGTTCTTTATCTTTCCAACACCCAATCTTTATTATTTTCTTAAAATTATTATTATTAGTATTATTTTATTAAAATTATTATTATTAGTATTATTTTATTAAAATTATTATTATTAGTATTATTTTATTAAAATTATTATTATTTAGAAATTAAATTTTTTGTTAAAATATAAATTATTATTATCATTTAAAAATTAAAATAAAATTATTTAAAAAGTAAACTTTGGACGTGGCTTAAAAGGCCATTATCTTGGTCTAAACGAGTTACCAAAGAATATTCATGACATGCATGAAAGAAAAAAATTAGAAAGTTAAATTTTCATGTAAAGAAACGCAAAAACATCCATTGTTAATAACTCATTCTCGAATTGCCACCCAATGTGAGGCGTGTGGATTGGACGAAGCTAGAAATCTGTGTTTTTTTATTATCTGTACATATGTCTGAAAAGAGACGAGGAGTCTTGTTTATCAATTTTGGATCCACAGTTGGAAATCAGGAGCTCTAGATTCGAAAAGTTCGATGAGAAAGAGGTAAATAGAATGTCGACGAATCTCTCACGCTTCGCATTCACAACTGGTTTTTCATCATTCTTTTTTCGAATTTAAAAATTAAAAATAACCTAACCCAAGCCACCACTGGACTTGGAGCCCTTTTAGTCACCGCGTCTCGCGTCGTTTAATTCCTCGACGTGCGTCATAAATCTTCACATCAATCGCGCCACTCCGAATTCCAGCCCTTTCAAGGAAAACTACACCCGGCATCGCGCGCACACCCGCGCGTATCTTTTTGTAACTTTAAAAGAGTCCCTTTCATCCTCATCAGAGGCATTCCTCTCCGCATCGGCGCTTCGCATCTCAAACATCTCTAAACATCCGTTCGAATTTCACGGGATCCTGTCTGACGGTGAACTTTGATCCCTCTGATGTTTGATGAAACGAGAAAGAAAGCAGAACGAACGAAAGAAAGAGAGAAAGAGAAAAAGAAGAAAGTTCGTCGCCGACGGCGGATAAGCGAAACGTCGCGAAACAGAAAAGATAATGGCAGGTGGAAAGCATCGAGAGGAGATCGTATGAAACTGCTTTGTCGATTACGCCGTGCTGCCGATTCGGATTTAACAATCGTTATGCTGATGACGACGCACGAGAACGCGCGTCGTCGTCGTTCTCGTGTTGTTGAAAGGACAATGAGACACAGGGACATTGTACAAAGGTATAAAGCCGGGGAGTAGTATGAATCGTGCATGCCCCGCTGCCTGAAAAACCGGAAAAGGGTTGAGCCCGGTGTTTCCGGCGCTGGGACGTCGAATTAAGAGAAGGGGATTATTAAAAGTACGAAAGCCAGTTGTGCTAGTTGTCGTAGCGACAACTTGTCTAAAGAAACGAGCGTGTAAAGAGCGGGATGATCTTTCGATTCAATGGAAACGAGTACGACAAATTCGTTCTCAAATTTCAGATTTTTTATTTCAGAGGCGAGGATTTTTGTTCTTTTCTTTTTTTTTTTTTCGATACGCGTGATTTGCTCTTTCGCAAAAAACGGCGTTGAACTCTGAACGATTTTAACTCTAACTAGAAAGCTAGACGAGGGTAGTTTTTTCAACGTCCACGCTCTATTTTTTTAAAATGATGTTCAGTCTCATTCTCGGTACAAGAAAATGTTCTTCACACAATTTCATTATTCGTCGTTTAATTGTACGTCAAATTTTACGATATTTACAATACCAACGATGTCAAATTTTATTTCAACATAAAGTCAATGCAACGAACACTTTTTTGAACACGATGTCTTAATAAAAGTCAACCTGAATATACGGACATCATAATTCACAGTACTCGCTCGTTAAATTAAACAACGAGTAACTGACAAAAATACGTAAAATTAAAAAAAATTAAAAACAAATTAAAATTAAAAGAAATTAAAAATAAATTAAAATTAAAAAAAAGTTTTTCTTTTTGATAGAAATGTAGCAACATACACGTTGCTCAATTCTATCGATGTCCATTCAAGTGTCATCCCGCGTTTGCTTCCAGTTCAGGCACGAAGACCGTTTAAAAACTATCAAACTCTCTTCGCTAGCCCACTCCGGCTGTTCGAAACACGTCCATCGAACGAACAACTTTGAAACAGCTCGACAGTCAGCCGCCATGTTGCATTCCCGTCTCTCTGCTTTTCATCTTTGCAACTTTATCGTGGACTCGTGTTCCTTTCGTGATCATCTCTTCACGCGTTTTCCTTCACGCGATCGAATGTCATCCCTCCGTCTGAACTCTGGGGGATAGTGTTCTAGTTCGTATTCTATCCAAGTGGATGTTTTTACACTTTGTTGGTTTCGCTTCGTTCGCGTTGAGAATTTCATGGCACGACGCGACGATTTATCATTGCGCGAAAGAACTGATTTCTTGGTCCATTTCCGTCTGATTTGGTTGTTAGTGGCCCCGAAATATTTGGAATTAGTTTCGTGAAGAGAATAATTTCTTCTGGATCATAATTTAGGTTTTTTTTTTTTTTTGGATAATAATTTTCCTTCGGTTATAATTTAGATTTGTTTTTTTTTTTTTTTTTTCGAATAATTTCTTTTGGATTTTAATTTAAAATAATTTCTGAGATTGTAATTTAAATCTCTTTTGGGGAAATGTAGAAAAGTTTAATTTTTGAGAATTAAAAGACTGTAGAAAGTAGAAAGAAAATGTCAGAGATAATAATTGAAATAATTTTAAATCGAATGTCGTGGGAAGAACGATAAATAATTTGAGGAATGTCGCGAAAAAAAAAAAAATAGTGGAAGAAGAAGAGGCGTGAATAGAAAATTTTCTTAAATTAAATAATACTGAGAACATTGCGTAGAATGGAATAAGCGAAAAGAAAACCGAATAACAGAAACCGAAATTGAAAGTATACCGCGAAAATTGGAGTAAGAAAGAAAATTTCAATAATAGAAATGCTTTCAATTAGATAATATGGCAGAAAGAATGTAATTTGTCTAATTTATTTAACATCATTTGAAATTTATCTAATTTTAATTATTAATAGCAATGTTTTCATTTTCAACAGCAGTGAAAGAGGAAATAAAAAATTTTCCTTAAATTATTAAAAAAGGAGGTCAATTGTTTTATAATATTTTATAAAACGTGCAGACGTTGATAATATTTTGTGTAATAAAACAAATTTAATTTTACAAATATAATTTTAAGCCAATAAATTGACAAGACAATATTATTCAAATTATTCTTTCTTTCAAATTCCTTTCCTGCATCTCGCTCCACGAAAGAGAAGGATTGAATATCTCGGTTCACTTTTATTAGAGTTCCCGTATTAGAATGACAGTTGAATTTTAATTAAATTCTTCATCCAAATTTGATCGATACGTTTAAAATTTCATTCGATAATTTCATGTTACGTCCTCTGGTAGTAATTAAAATTTCAATAAATTTATATTAATCAGAATTATGAAAAACGCGCATGAATTTTTAACAAGCAATTAAAATTTGACATTCTATTACTCATAATTATGCATGAATTTTAAACGATCCGAGTCGAAATGTTTATCGGAGGCACGATGGCTTTTTTTCGTAATTTTCGGTTTCGAACGATTAATTCTCGCTCGGACAGGTTACGAGCTTTAACGAGCATATATCTCGACGTTAATAACATTTTTGTTCATGTCAACAGCTGTCAGCAATTAAGTCAACTATTTCACACGAAAGAACGTGCTTCGAGAAGATTACTTTTTCAGGAATACCAATTTATAGAATATATTGCTTCGTCGACAACCACTCTAATTGTTTAGAGATTTTAATTAAATGAAAGTTCATTCAAACTAGATTTTATCTGACAAGAAAATTTTAATCTAACAAAAATGGGAACCGGGTAGGAAGAAATATATATATATAGGTACACATGTAACATGATACCTTTTGATCAATCGAGGCCGAATAGAAAGTACAAAAAGATTTCGAGGGACTTACCCGTGTCGGTGCTTCCAGGTAGAAGAATGGCATCGTCACGGAACCAGGAGGTGACCGTCAGATGTTCCTTCACGTCCTCCCTCGCCGTGCAAGACAAAACCGCGTTGCATCCCTCTACAACTGGGGATCTATTTACCCTTACGTCGTACCCAGGCACCGTCAACACTGCAATTTGGACAGAGAAATTCCATTAGAATTATTGGACGTCAATTATATCGCTCGTTAAAAACTAGTCGAACAGGAAACAGAATACTACGTCCGATAGAGACAAAGCCACTTGTTGTTTTAAGTGAAAATCCACTCGAACTAATTGCAAGTAAGTTTATTTAATTTCATCGAGAGTGAATAGCTTCCTTGGAGCAGAAAGATTCAGAGTGCTTCGCTGTATTTTCAAACTTATATTATAATATACTTATATTAATATTATAATATACTTATATTATACTATTATACTTAATTAACTTATAATATACTTATATTATTAAAATAATACTTATATTATATAACCACTTGCGCTGGCAACTGATTGCGGACCATAACGAGTGACCAAACCGTATACGACAATTCGTCGTTTTCTGTCTGACGAAAATTCGAAATTATTGAGAAGTAATACATTTATTGTTTGCGTTGCCTGGTTTATACTTAAATATACCTAAAAACTGAGAAAATATTGCAGTTTTGAGAGAAAAAAATTCTCGACGTGCGTCGCAAGAGGTTACTCTCAGATTTAATTTGTCCCAAATTTAAAAATCTTTTAAGTATCTATTATTATCTATATTTATAGCCATATATATTGCAAAGAAAAATTCATTATTAAAACCCTCTCCCAATGCCAAACCTCTAGTCCAGCAAACTTGGTAAAGCGTAATTACGCAATGCTTCATTAAACTTTTCTTTTTCTTCTCGTCTTCTCGTCCTCACTTCTTGACTCTCGCCCCTTTTAAAAAGCCTCGCCCCGGTAAGAGAAACGACCGGCGAAATGTTCTTACGAATGTTTGCGTTGCTGTTCGCGTGGATTGAGCGCAGATGAAAAGGAGGGTTGACAAGTTCGGGGTTGTTGATTCTTTATTCGCCGGGAATCGGAGAGCCGCTTCGATGCTGAGTTTACGGCAACGGGGAGTGAGTTATTGATTTGTTTTCTACCGTGTTTTTTTGCCGTGAATTCTCCCTCTCGAGTGGATTAAAGTTGCGCGAAGTTTTGAGTTTCGAAGATCCCTGCCTCTCGAAAGAGACGTATATTTTTCGACCGTTTCTTTGTACATTCGTACAAGTTTTTGCAGCCAATCGTGAAGTTATTTTGTCTTACTCTGGCTGGCAAGTTTGTGATTGAATAATTAAGAGTGATTTTTAAGAAAAGGTTTCGCTGAGAATCGAGTGTACAGAGTGTAGAAGAAGTGTTCGTATTTCTGGATGAAAAGTTCTCGATACTCAGTGGAAAAGAAAAAAAAAAAAAAGGAAATCATTATAAGGGGAGACTCTGATCTGTCATTTTAGTTTTACTTCTGTAAAAAGTGTCTGCCAAACAAATTATGGAAACTTCGCAAATTATAGTCAATATTACAATAATAATATTAATAATGTAATAATATTAAAATAATAATAATAGGTAAACAGATGTTAAAAAATAGAATAAATAAAAAAAAAAATTGAAAATAACTTGAGTTAATAAGTTATATACTTGAGAACACGCTATTCATACTTCAGATTGGATTTGAGATTCGAGAGGAACAAAGATCCACCGCGACGACGAATTTTCAGAAATCTGCAACCACAAGGGTAGACTCGTTATTCTAAAACGGGATCAGGGCAATCAAGTATGCTTCTTGTCGCAGCTAAATGCAATCTAAAAGGAAGAAACGCGACAGCCGCTTTCGTCCATTCGCCATTTACATAAATCCCTTTCCGATCGGGGGATTTTTCTAGCGAGCTCCACGTTGTTTACCGACACGTTTCGTTCGAATGCCAATGCTGAAGCTATAAATCACGCGGATGGACGTGACATCCGTTCTCGATCCGACGCGGGAAATTCTCACTGGCTAAAAATCGACGAAACATCCCTGGGAAGACGTTACCGCCCTCTCGGTACCATTATGCTCGCGATCTCGTTGTTAAATCGACACAAAAAAAAAAAAAAAAAAGAAACAGTGGATCAGAAAGTCTTCCATTTCTGTGTTTGAATCTTCGTCTTTGCTAGTGTCGAGTTTATACGACAATGTTTCTCGAATCGAGTTCGAAAACGTGTTAGATGTTGCTCGTGAAAATATTAGAAAACCTCTATGAATAAATTATACAAATTACTTTAATATTCATTCCAGCCAATAATTGTAAGGCTTTATGTTCTTGTATTTTAACATTCTTTCTAGCCGAGAATTGTGATAATGTACGTATGTGATTTTGTAATGTGTGCATATATTTGTAATTTGTATATAATTGTAATGTAATAATATAATTGTGTGTGTATATATATATATATATATATATATATATATATATATATATNAACATATTTATGCTTTGTAATGTATGTATATAATTGAAATATGTAATTATATCTGTACAATTGTAATAATATAATTGTATGTAATTATACATATATGTAAGTAACATATTTATGCTTTGTAATGTATGTGTATAATTGTAATATGTAATTATTTGTATACAATTGTAATAATATAGTTACGTATATAATTGTAATAATATAATTATGTGTAATTACATATTAACGTAAGCAACATATTTATCTCTTGTAATGTACATATTTATCTCTTGTAACTGTATATATTGCAGCATATATCTATACATGTAATTATATTACACCTAAAATACACAACTAAAATAAAAATTATAACTTTACAAGAAAAACTGTTAAAACATAAAAATGAAAGACACAAAGTGTTAATCCACACAGATCATTCAATTATTGAATCGAAAATGAAACGATCAACGAATTATTACCGATTTTTCGCGGACTGGTTCGTTCGTTCGAGTTTCCTCGGCGAAAAGAAAGGAGGACGTTTGTCGAGGTAAATTCCCCCGGCGGAGATAAGATTAGCGTCGCATCCGGAAATTCGTTTTCAGCTTCAGCAGTTCCATCGCCGCTCCATTTATTCGCAGATCTGACAGGTAGCTACGATATTGCACTTAATAGCACTGTCAGCTCTCGGGCGTCACGCTGTTACGTGTCTCATTTCGGAGGCACAATTTAAGTATTAAACGTAAAGCGTTTAAGTCGCTCGTTCCCTGCCTCTGACATTCGAAAATTTTGCAATATCTCCTCCTCACTTCCGTTCGTGTTCCCATTCGACGTAAACGCTGTCGCTCCCTACTGAATAACAATTGGTTCTGGACCAATTAAATTATTCTTTCTGTGTGATCTAATCCCCTCGAATGTGTCACAGTCAGTGTGTTATTTAGATTTTGTCGAATTTCTTCAAATTTTCTCAAGGACGACGAATGTTCGGGATCGATTCAATTCTCGTATTGAATTGTGTCTGACTTAACTAGGTATTTTTCTCCTTAACCTCTTGCGCTGGAATGACGTGCCACGCACGTCGAGAATTTTCTGTCCCAAATTGCAACATTTTCTCAGTTTTAGGTATATTTAAATGTAACCCAGGCAAGACAAATGATTAGTTTATTGCTTCTTAATAATCTCTATCCAGCGATATCGCACCGACGAGTTCGAAAGAAAGAGAAAACGATGAATTATTGTATACGGTTCGGTCACTCGTTATGGTCCGCGAACCAAGTTGCCAGCGCAACGGGTTGAAAGATGGCGATGAACATTTGGGATAAAATAATATTTGAACACACAAGGTTCAGAGAGGTTGAACAAGAGTGTTTAGGACAAAGCTGTCGACAATTTTATTTTAGCTTGCCACAATGGTAAAAACGTTCGCGATGAACGTGTAACTTCCACTCGGCTGCTTTTCGAAAATAATCGAACCTTGAGAAAGTACATGTATTATCTCGAGAAAAGTATTTCGTAGGAAATGGGAAATTCTTCGGGCACGAAGGTAGACAGAAAACATTGGAATACGAAAGAGGGGAAGCGCCGAGTCGATTGCTTCTCGCAGACATGGAAAATTAAGAAAATATTCGCGAAAAGAATGTCTCGTAGGAACATTCAGCGACGCGAAAGTCGACTTGGAAATATCCTGCAGCGTAAGGGAAGAAACTTGGGGGGGAAAACCTCCGGCCGATTGCCTCTCGGAGACGTGAAAAATTAAAGGAAAAATACTCAAGAGAATTTCCACGGGTCATGAAAAATTCAGTGAAACGAAAGTAAACGAATAATCTTGGAACACAGAAGAGAGAGGATCGATCGTTTTTTTAGAAACACTAAGAATCAAGAACAATTCGTTGACAACGATGGAACACGTACCAAAAATTACTTGGAACGAAAACCTCGAGTCTGGCTGGCCAGCCAAATGAATATTAAAGAAACGTTCTCGAACGATGGGACAAATAATTATATTACGTGCACAAAAATAAATTATCCATAGAAAGATATATCTTCTCTAAAAAAAAGAAGAGAGAGAGAGAAGTTCGACGAATCTACGATGAGTCAACCGCTTCTCGAGGAAAATTAAGAGAAAATAATCCCCCGTCCAGAGAAATTCCTTAAAACGAATAATCTCAGGATATAAAGGGAGAGAATTCGAGTCGATTGCTCTTTCAGAGAGGTGAAAAATTAGGCAGCCACTTGGGGGACGCCCCCGAGTTACCAGAGCTGGCAAATACCTGGATAACGATCAAATTCGAACGGGGAAGGGAAAACGAAACGAAACGTGCAAACGAGGCCAATATGCGCAGATCTCCAGCGAACCAAGCAACGATATTTCCCGTGGATCCGCAGCCAACCTCGGGATTAAGTTTCTTTTCGATTCACGCTTTTCCTCCCTCTCCCCGATATCGTAGCGTAAACCTGCGACACCTCGATTTCTCCCTAGATTGACGTAATCTGCTGAGGACAGATGGATCATCCGTTGAAAAATTCAACTCGTCGAATATTTTTCTAACTTTTCTCTGCAACGTGTATATCTAATAAATATAATAATACAGAGAGTAATTGTTGAGATTATATATATATATATATATATATTTTTATATGATTAGATAGTGTTGGAAGCATGGAGATTTTTCGTTGAATGTTTTTATCGACG